CAACAAGGTCCACTTGTGTGGATATCTACTTGCTGAAAACGAATCCCGGCGTAGCCAACCTCAACGTGATAGGCACGTTAGCTTAATCGAATAAAATAATTCGAAGAGGTCTGTATTCTGTCGAAACTGCCACACGCAGATCGCGATTTCGAATTTTTTGGATCTCATCAGCGCGTCGCAGACAGCTCCGACAGAACACACACCAACTTTCACCTGCTGTCTTAACAGTGCGTTTTAATTCAAGATATTATTCCACCGCCTCACCACTTCAATAGTAATAAGTAAATAATACACAAATAATGTATCACCTCGGATGCTAATTCGAATGGGAAAGAAGAAGCCTTACCTTTTGCTTCCAAAAACTGAAGCAATTCCTTCAAGGTGTATGCATAAAAAAAACGAAGGAAAAGGTTTTACTTCGAGGTTTTGCTTTAAAGTAAAAGGTTTTACATTAATTTGTATTTATAAAAAGAAGCATCTGCTCAAAAACTAAAGGATTTGNACCTGACATCTCTTTTCTATGTTGACGATATTCCCTATAACGTCTGTCGTGAGTAAAAGTAGGCGGTTCTGTCAGCAACCGCTCTAGTCTAGTCAGTAAGTCGAAAGAAGAAAGTAAATGGGACAGTTTTATTGCCAACTATGCCAATTTTGAACGTCCTAACTATACGTGGAAATAAGGACACATTTGCAAAAATTATTTTTTATGAAACAAATATACATTTTGTTGCTTACCTTAACCGTGGCTTTGTACGTTTTATGGCTTTCTTCCTTCCTTCTAGTTTCGTTTTAATCTACAAAAAAAAGAATGAAATAGTGTTATGTATTCTGCAGAATCAATGTAAATTAAATTTAATCTTATAGCTTATTACTACCATACCTAATCATAATTAGTTTTTGATTCACTTATGCATTAACCCAAAAAGTTCAACTGATTGATTTACTTCATTTGAAGAAAGTTTGAGTCAGGTGCACATTGACTCAAACTTTTACCATTGAATTGACAAATTGCAATTAGCCGAGAAGATCACAACTGGAGACGTGGGTTGTTTAACGTTGTTACTTATACAAATAGAGCCGGTCTTTGTTTCCATTTTTAGCAGACACAAACACTACGACAGGAACGTTTACGGCCGTTTTATTGATTTAAAATGGATTGGTTTCTAAGAAAAGTGTAGAAAGCTATGCGTAGTAACTACTTTTCCTGGTGTAATGCGAAATCCGTTCACAACAGATGCTTCTATAAATGACCGACAAGTGGACTCGGTGTGTGTGTTTGGTGTGGAAATTAATAGTAATTTATTATATTTCAATCAATAAGCGATTTATAATACTATATTTGATGGTTTGATGTCTGCTAGGCGAAATATCCACATTTCATGAAAACGAAAGGTAAAAATGCATTTCTCTGTCAGTAGCGCATGTCTGACTCTTAATCAATTTAAATACTTAAGTCAAAAGAAATTTTTTGGCGACGACCATTTCCATGTAATGATAATTGTTTGCTTTTGGCTTAGTTTACGGTTTCGTTAATATCCTTCTCTTATACTCTTTTTTTATAAAATAAAAAACCCAAAAACTTTTCCGCCAAATTCGAAAATTGCCCTAGAACTAGGTATCACCAGTTATTAAATTTTCAAAATTACTTTTTAAACATCTTTATCTTGAATTCGATTCGATTACTCGAACTAGCCCAAATTCGAGTTCACAATGGAAGAAAAGGTTGGGTCAACATTAAAAAAAAAAGCTACGCAATCGATAAACCCCCGATCTAAACACTAATCGCTCATTTCTGAAATATCAGTCGATGGTAATGAAGTTTTACGAAAATGGTCTTTGAATCACTGATAAAAATAACGGCAAATCTCAAAAATCTCGATTTTTTGATTTAATGCATTTCAAATTTGCCTGAAATTAAAAATTTCCATCATAATGTAATGTAAATGTCTGTAACAATTAGACAGAAACCCAGCCGCAGCAGACCTTTTTTACCCCTAAAATAGGGCTTCGTACTTTTCTTAAGAACACTCTAAACTATCATTTAGCCGAAGCGCAGGTTTTAAGTCAGCACTATGAGGCTAGAATTTATTTAATAAGTTTTAATTCTTTTTTTAAAGAAACCAAATACGAAAAGTGCGTCCAGAAAAAGCGCTTCGTACTTGTGTAGATAATAATGAGAGCTTGTCTCC